CACTAATGTTGTTAAGACTAACACGAGTTTCTTCTGTATAAAATAAAAGTAAATTAACTGTATTTTAAATAACACTTCTTTACTTCACTGCAATGAAAGTCACAAAATATATTCACTTATCACTAATGTATTTTCAAGGGTCACTTTGTAAGTTAATTGTACACAAGTTGATAGAATTCTTTGGGGTGTTAATGTAAAGTCTGAGTCTGTAACTTTGGTTAAAAATCTTAGCATTTCATATAATGTGTCATTGCTTGTCATTACAGCCTGCCATTATTAATGAAAAATGTATTCAAACAAACATCTATGCATTTAAAAAGTGACATTCTTGTACTTAACCAATGCTCATCTCCACACTGCACAGTGTATATGTGCACCACTTGAAGTGAACTGAAGCTGGATCTTGCTAACTGTAAGCAAACCACTTTATTAAAAAAAAAATAAAAACGTTGATCTTTCAGACTGATTGTAGGCACAGTTTAATCATTTAAATGAATACAATTTTGATGTGATGTGTTTCATTCATTCATTTTCTTTTCGGCTCAGTCCCTTAATTCATCAGCGGTCGCAAGAGTGGAATGAACCACCAACTTATCCAGCATATGTTTTACACAGCGGATGCCCTTCCAACTGCAACCCAGTATTGGGAAACACCCATACACTACGGCCAATTTAGTTTATCCAATTTACCTATAGCACATCTCTTAGGACTGTGGGGGAAACCGGAGCACTCCAGAGAGATGGACACAGAGAGAACTTGCAAACTCCACACAGAAGTGACTAAAACTGACCCAGCCGGGACTTGAACCAGCAACCTTTTTGTAGTGAAATGACAGTGCCAACCACTGAGCCTCTTTGTCACTCAAGTCCAGTTTCATATTTCCCAAAATTGTAAAGCAGTCAGGAAAAATAATGTTTCTGTTGAGCTGTTGCCTTTTCCGAAGCTGTGATTTTGTGTATGAACACCTGTGAGCCTGCTGAACACACAGCAGACTGAAGGCCGTCATTAGCCACTTTGCTATCTAAAGTTGAAGTCAGAATTATTAAACCCCCTGAATTATTAGTCCCCTCATAATTTTTATTTTTTTCATAATTTTTGTTTAACGAAGAGAGATTTTTTTTTCTACACAATTCTAAACATATTAGTTTTAGTAACTTTTAAATGTTTCAAGCCACTTCTATGACATTTAAAGGCTTAACTAGGTTAATTAGGTTAACTAGGCAGGTTAGGGTAATTGGGCAAGTTATTGTATAACAGTGGTTTGTTCCTGTAGACTATCGAAAAAATATAGCTTAAAGTGGCTAGTAATTTTGACCTAAAATTTTATTCTATCTGAAATAATAATAATAAAAAAAAAACGTTCTCCAGAAGAAAAAAATATTATCAGACATACTGTGACATACAAACAAGTTTCCTTGCTCATCATTTGGGAAATACTTTTAAAAAGCAAAAATAAATAAATAAATGAAAAGGGTTTAATAATTCTGACTTTAACTGTGTTTACAAAAAGGGGTGGGGTGGAGGGGGGAGTCCATAGTTTGCTTGGAGATGGGCACACATGAAGTAAATGCACACTTGAAGCTGGTTAAGCATAAAAACCAGCACATAATTCAAATAAGTCAGCTTCATGTTTTCTTTTCAGCTTGTCTGAAACACAAACCTAACTAAACAATGTCTACAAAATTGAAAATTCATTTCAATGTTATAATTCAAAAGATATAAAATTGAACAACAAAGGGTTGGTTAAATTATAAACGAGTAGTCCTTTTTTCTTGCTAAACAATCTCTTCACAAAACATTTAGTTATTGACATTAAAAGTTTTTACAGTGTTTGCACTGGTCATTGCCAATTTTTTGTTTGTTGGCATCACACAAACATTGTTTCAAAAATGTAGTTCACAATCTAGTGCTGCAGCATTATTCTTCCACCTCTCGTGTTCATATGGGGATGAGGCATAGGTGTCTGTGTCTGGTTTGCATTCTTCAGAGAATAAAAAGATTATGCATATCAAGTAGAGCTGTATCTGCAGAGGTAGATATGATAGGCCAAAGAGAAAAGCAGGACTAACTAGCAGGCATTTTTCTACTGCATCATGCTCTTTTCCCCCCAGACCAACTAGATCCACCCTTTCTGTTTTCTTGCCTTTTATTTTATTTATCCTTATCTTGTATCTTAGTTTGTGCCAGATCTAGTTTACATTCCTTTCTCAGATGTATGTAGTTATTGGTTGGGGATTAAAATAATTAAGCATGTCATTTAAATTAAGTATATATTTATTAATTATAAAAAACAAATTCAAACAAAGATATAGATATACAATCAGCTAGAAATGAAATACAGTGCTCAGTATACATGAATACACCCCATTTTGAAAATTAATATTTGTATCCATTTGTCAGTGAATATGGGTAATATAAATCGGGGCAAAATATTGCAAAAAAAAAATTTACAAACTACAAAATTTCAACAAATTTTTTATATATTTTTCATTTTTCTTTAATTTAGCTATTTCTGAAAATGCTTGTTTTTTATTTTTACCTAACATTTAAATTTGACCTACTAATTTTTTAACCATTATTGTAAGTTGTTTTGTTAGATAAGCTCCAGATTTGGCTTTAGTACTGACTAAACAATGTATATGCACAAATATAATATTGCAACCTAAAGAAAAAATTTAAATTAACAGAGATTTGTGGGGGGGTACTTATAAATGCTGAGCACTGTATGTAGGGCGACGTGGTGGCGCAGTAGGTGGTGCTGTCACCTCACAGCAAGAAGGTTGCTGGTTCAAGCCTCGGCTGGGTCATTTGGCGTTTCTATGCGGAGCGTTCGCGTGGGTTTCCTCTGGGTGCTCCAGTTACCCCCACAAGTCCAAAGACATGTGGTATAGGTGAATTGGGTAGGCTAAATTGTCCGTAGTGTATGAGTGAGTGTATGTGTGAATGAGAGTGTATGAGTGTTTCCCAGTGATGGGTTGCAGCTGGAAGGACATTCGCTGTGTGAAACGTGCTGGATAAGTTGGTGGTTCCTTCTGCTGTGGCAATCCCAGATTAACAAAGGGACTAAGCCGAAAAGAAAATTAATGTGTGTGCATATATAATTATGAGTAAATAATAGACAGAAGTAAAATGAGCAAATAAATCATACTTATTTTCTGTAAAATATGCAAAAATTTGTAATTGATCATGTAAGATTGTATTAAATGTAAACACATTCATTTTTAATTTTATGTCTATTATTTTAAATATATATATATGAAAAATGAAAAAAAAATGTTTTTTCATCATTTTTAACAGATGTAAAAATAAAATCTTTTTTCAAACTTATTTTTACACGTCTTTATACTTAAATGTCATGCTGGAATTCATGTTCATACTCTGTAAATACAGAGTATTTGTTTATTTATTTAATTTACCAACTCATTTATTTGCACTCTTACAATCACTGTTAGACATCTGATGGAAATTAGCCTGACATAATTAGTCTAATCTATTGATGGAACAGTTTGTGCTGTTTTTCAATGTGTAAATAACAAATCCTTGGTTCTCTGTTTAACATAACCATACTGTCTTGTTTCTACAAAACTCCTGTGGTCTTTAAATTTCTTTATTTCAATCACATTAACCTTTTTTGTTCATCTCAACTTACATCAGTCGAACAGACTTAAAATATAAAGGTAAACTTTAACCTAATTAACTTATTACAATAATTTAAAGGAGCTCACTAGATTTTTGAAAATAGACTCATCTACAGCTCCTGTGGATTTAAACAGTTGAGTTTTACAATTTTGTAATCTATTCAGTTAATACCTGAGCAGAAGCCCATTTTAGCATAGCTTAGCATAAACTATTTCATCAGATTAGACCATTAGCATCTTGCCGAAAAATTGTAGGAAAAAAAGTGTTTTGATCATTTTGCTATTTAAAGCTTGCCTATTATGTAATTACATGTAGTAAGTCTGAAAAGTTGCTTCAAATTATCAAAACTTTTTTTTTTTTTTAAATGACAAAAAAAAAAAAAAAAAAATGTGAATGGTCTAATCAAGTGCTCCCGCCAGACCCAGAGATTGGCTGATTGGCTAAACATGTCCCCCAAAATTTGGTGTGTTCATTTAAAGTAGGCTAACAACACATTTGTTGTCATGATTTTGATTATAATTTTCACAGTGTATGTTCATTTTGGCACATTGTAGCTACCACATTATAACACCCATGAAGTAATGTATCTGTATCTCGCGCTTCACCTATAACATTTAGCATCGCGTCCCCTTTCACACAGTACACAAGTTACATCATAGGAGTCACACAAATGTCCAAGCAGAGAAAGTTGGTGGGTTTCAGATGACGATCCCTGATCCAGAAAAACCTGACACTGCTGGTGCAGCCTATTATCAATACCAGAGGGGGTGGTGTTGAGAAATGCAGAGTCATACGAAACTCACTTCTGCCCGTCTGTCATGGATATGACGAAAAAGAGGCTCATGGACACACGTTCAAAAGTCGCTGTCACTTTGTGAGAAAACACACACGACATGCTTGAACAGTCATTTCACATTCATTCATGTGTGTTAACGGGACCGTGATGCGTGTCACTCTTTTTGTAAAGGGTCAAACAAACTCTTGTTACTCCGTCACCGTTAGTTGATTGGTATCCCGACATGTGTAATGCCAGAGGACCCTGCTGTTTCTGTCTGAAACTGTTGCCTCTCCAAAAACTGCAATGCAGAAGAGATTCCGGACCCCAAATAACACCGCCTAACAACCTGAACCCACATTTACAGCTCAAAGAGAGAGAGCAGAGATACGGGGTGAGGGGAAGGAAGGAAGGGGGGACAGGCATTCAGCCAAGGAGGGGAAAAGTTGAGTGTGAGCCAGATTTTAGCCGATTTTTCAGACAGAGAGAGAGAGAGAGAGAGAGAGAGAGAGAGAGAGAGAGAGAGAGAGAGAGAAGGGGGGGCTGCTGTTGAACAGACTCGCTGCAGTTTGTCCTCAGACCTCCAGTGCTTCAATGCTCTTCAGTTGTGTTTTACCGGCGGCTGGACTGCGTGTGTGTCTCTCACAAGGTGCGTCGGTGAGAGTGTGTGTGTGTCTGTGTGCATGGCAGAGGGTGTTTGTTTGTGTGTCTGAGCAGGCTTGGGACCAAAGCACTGCGGATTTGTGTACGGCATATTCTGCGGACTGGTGCCCTCTGCTTCTCCGGACAGGACACACAGATTTACCTGCTCAACAGAGGTACGGCGCGCGCACACACACACACATGCTGACTCAACATAGAAGCACACAGTTCTTTTGTCAGCTGCGCATGTTTGATTTGCTTAACAGTCGGGGAGGTACATTTATAAGTTATGGACTTAAATGTAAAAGTTCAGTGTGTTCATCTTTATGGGAGCTGCAGGCAAAACCAAGATATGGGGTTTCCTTTTCGCTTCTTTGTACTTGAAATATTTACAAGGGTATATGAAGTTCTGTTGTTTTTTAATTACATAAATTCAGCGAATATTAATTTTACTTTTAATATTATTGTTTTTTATCCAAAATAAAAGTCCTGCCATCATTATTCACCCTAATATTTAATTTATTCACCCTAATATAAAGTATTGATAATATTGAATAAAATCTGAGACATTGAAAGTTTATTCATGGAAATATCTGGAGATTTTGGAGAAATTAAATTAATAATGATGATGTGATGACTATAATGATAATAATTAAATTAAAATTGCATATAAATCAGCCAGTTTAGGTGTTCTTGAGACACTTAATTCTTGCTTCATGAATTTAAATAATTTGCATTTTTAATTTATATAAAAACACAGATCAACAATACCTGCTTTATTATGTGTAAGAACAAACCTCAGTGGTTCTTGTAGAAGTTTGAATATTGGAATAACCACATGTAAATATTGTAAACATTGTTTGCTAATCAAAGTTTATATGGGAATATTATTTCTAAAATTAAATGTACTGTTAATGTAAAGCAGTTATCTCTTCAGAGAAATCACATTTAACCAATCAATTGATAATTAATAAATATGTTTGATATATTAATTGATATATTTTTTACCTCAGTTTATTAATGGGCTAAATAGGCACTTAATGGAGGAACAAGAATCGCTTAGCCTTGATAAAAATGTCTTCACTTGTGAGAAGATTAACTTTTTGTTTGGAATAACATTATGTTGAGTAAATGATGACAGTTGATGACAGGATTCTGTTTGCTCATCCCTTTTGGTGAGGTTATAAATTGCTTATAGTTAATGTCTGATTATTGTTTATGCAATGATTTACAAATGGATAGCCACCCTCAAACATTCCTTTTTTCACAGGTCAGAGGGCAAACGAATAACCCAAATAACTGAGTTATATGGAGTTCTGAAATTTTATCTTCACCGCTGAGCAGATTCTTGATCTTCCAGACCTCTGAGACCTGGACAGGCCTTTGACAGGAGGAGTCTTATGCTTGATGTAAAAAAAAACTGTAAGCACAGTTTGATCTAGTACGCTCTGCCAAGAAGAAGTCAGGAGTCTTTGCCACCCACGCAGCATCTTCGGGAACAAAGACTTCTGGGAAACTACCGAGAACTGCTGAGAAGGGCTGGTGGACACAGCAAAAGGAAAGGGGAAGAAAGTGAAGAGCAGGATGGTGTCACGGAGCGGAGGGCGTCTAAGAGGAGGAGGAAGTAGAGGAGCTCCCTCAGAAGGAAGTGTGCCCTGTCTTCTGCTGGCACTCATCATTGGTAAGATGCTCCTTTAGTGCAAAGCAAAAATATATGTGGATGTGTGTTACCATTAGACTTGCATCATACACGCCCTGACAAGAACAGAAGAGAATGCAAAGCTTGCAAGGTCTTTGCAGCTCTCTGATGTCCTGAACACAGACACATGTGCATGAATCCAGCCCCAAAATGTTGCACTGCAGTGAAGCCGTACAGTAGAATATAGTGTTGGTGTGGTGTGTAAAGTCAGCAGTAGATAACAGGCTCAAATTTCTGAGGCATATATCCCCCCAGGGACGGAGCTACGCAAAGGAAACTGCGGTCAGAGTTATAATTTGCTCACCTTCATGTTGTTCCAAATCTGACTCAAGAAGTTTCTTTTTTTTTTTCTCGTTGTATTGAAATGTTCATCTTAGAATATTGTATATTTCATTGACCTATGGGTCATCATAGAATATTGTACACTACCTGACAAATGCAAATTTTAGGAACAGCAAATAATAACTTGACTTCTAGTTGATCATTTGGTATCAGAAGTGGCTTATATGAAAGGTAAAGGCCTGCAGATTATGATTATTTAGGCTTGATTTATTATTAGGACAGTATGTATGACTTTGCTAAAACTAAGGTCTTGTCACTTAACAGAAATAATATACAGGTAAAAATTATTTTGGGGGGAAAAAATTGGAAAATAATTAGCATTGTGTGTGACTCCTATGAGCTTGGAGGACTGCATCCATACATCTCTGCAATGACTCAAATAACTGATTAAAAAAGTCATCTGGAATGGCAAAGAAAGTGTTCTTGCAGAACTCCCAGAGTTCAATAAGATTCTTTGGATTCATCTTCAATGCCTCTTCCTTCAACTACCCCAGACATCCTCAATAATGTTTATATTGAGTGACTGGGCTGGCCAGTCCTGGAGCACCTTGACCTTTTATGCTTTCATGAACTTTGATGTGGTATGAGGAGGAGTGCTATCCTGCTAAAGAATTTGCTCTCTTCTGTGGTTTGTGATGTAAGGGGCAGCACAAATGTCTTGATACCTCAGGCTGTTGATGTTGCCATCCACTCTGAAGATCTTTATGCATTGTCAGCTAGTGTATTTCATTATCCTATGATAATCAAAAATCACTCATCTTTACTAAAACTCAAAGATAAAGCTGCAAAATTCAATTTGAATTCTGAGATCTATATTGCAGGAAGAAACAACTTCCGCCTTCAAAACTAACTCTATATATCAGAGTTTATATCTTGTCTGTGGTCAGTATTTCAACAATTTTTAATTAGTGTGCACCACTGGGTTCGACTAAAGTAAAGGTTTATATTTTCTAATGTTAAAGGTACCTGAATAAATGTAGAAGGTTTCAAGCAAGACCGAATTCTTAAAATGAAAAGTTCGTGGTTTTATATGTTTGTGTTTGGGGGTACTGTTTGGAGTGTTCATGTGTGTGCCTGTAATTTGATGTAAAACATTTTTATAGCTGGCCTGTCAAAATTGACCTATAAGACAACCATTGTGCCCTAAATATATGCAGCCTTCAGAAAAATAGGACAATGGAAAATAGCTAATGTTTGATTTTGTTGGGGTCATTTTAGAAAAAAAAACAGGAGGTTTAAGGAAGTGTTTTATTGTTAAAGTTTGGCTTTGATAGGCTGTGTGTGTTTCATTGTGTATTGGATGGGATATTCCTTAATTTAAGTTTTCACATTTCACATTTGGAATGCTTAGATGTTTTGTTTGTGAGTAGATTAAAGATAAATATTTATGCCTCCTAAGTCCTTTATTTTATTGCTAAGTAAATTTAAAATATTGAAACAAGTAATACACAAAGATTTGTTTTCTCCTGTCTTATGTGCACAAAAATGTTTCTCTGTGGTAAAGTAGCAGTTTACTATAACGGAAGTGCAGTATCTCTTACAGAGAACATGAGAAGTCAACAATGAGTCTGCAGTGTTTCTACGATCACTCGTGTCCTTGGTTTAAAATGTTATGAAAGGCTACAGTTTAAGGACCACTGCACTGGTCATGCAACTTCTCTTGACGAAGTACACAGCTGTGTAAACGCAGCACTTTCTCTTTTTCTCTTACACACATACACACACACACACACATACACACACATAATTCTGAACACAGATATCAGAAGTCCAGGTGTGTTTGTAAGGTCACCACATCTTATTGGTTACATGGAATGATGCAGTATACAACAATGCATTTGTAGATACAGTTGAAAAGTTAAATGTACAGCACCGTAATGGAATGTATTGTGTATTTATATAGCACATTTATTCTGGCCATACACCCAAAGTGCTTCACAATCATTAGGGGGTCTTTCCACACCACCACCAGTGTGCAGCATCCACTTAGATGATGCGACGGCAGCCACAGGACAAAGGTTCCTGTGTTCACCACACACCAGCTCTTTGTGGAGTGGAGAGACAGTAATAGAGCCAATTTGGTGGATGGGGATGATTGCAAGGGCCGATGGTGGAAAGATGGCCTGGGGTCACATCTCTTTTACAAGAAGTGCCATTAAATTTTTGATTACCACAGAGAGTCAGGACCTCAGTTTAATGCGAAAGAAGGCGCTCACCAAAAGTATGGTGTCCTCATCAATATACTGGGGCATTAGGATTCACACAGACCACAGGTTGAGCACCCTCCACTGGCCTCACTACCACCACTTCTAACAGCAACCTAGCTTTCCCATGTGGTCTCCCATCCAGGCACTGACCAGGCTCAGCCCTGTTTAGCTTCAGTGAGTAACCGATCATGGGGTGATATGGCTGTGGCTGTACAAGTATGTTATTAATTTACCTTTTTATTAGATACATCTAACTAGTTCCTTGTTGAAGCCATTTTTGTCTTACTGTATGGCATAAATTCAAGAGGATGGTGGAAACATTCCTTAAATAGTTTGGTTAAAACAAACCTGTGGTGAAAGAAAATCTGGACTACTCAACCACCATACAAGTGTGTGGATTATTTTGCAAAGATATTAATAATAGAGAACTCCAGCGTAATAAAAGGAGAACATTTTATTGAAATAAAATAAATGCCAATGCGTTTCTGCTTAAAATCCTCCCTTAGGGCCCAAAAATACATCACAGACATGTTAAAACAGATATAAAATATCCTCCACATTATTACATCATCAACAGCCGCAGCTTTTGATGGAATGCAGGATGCTTTCATATAGTTTATGCTAGATTCTTATCCTGTATCTAAATGTTGCAGCAAAAGAGTCACATCAGGACAAACTTGTGTAATGAAGTTGTCAGGAGTGTCGGCGATATTGTCTTCTGCTCCTGTAGCTCATCTGCTTCAAGGTTCTGTGTCTTCAGAGATGCTCTTCTGCAGATCTTGGTTTACTGTTTATTTAGTGGATATTTCAGTTACTGTTGTCTTCCTATCAGCTTGAATCAGTCTGGTCATTCTTCTCTGAATTGACAAAGGCATTTTCACACACAGCTGCTGCTCACTTGCTATTTTGTCTTTTTCAGATTATTTTTTTAAACCCTAGAGATGGTTATATGTAAAAAAAAAAAAAATTTCTGTAATACCAGTAAATTTTGCATTAACAACCAGGCCATGTTTAATGTAAATAGTTGTTTTCCCAATCTGATGCTTGATTAAACTTCAGCAGATTATGTTGACCATGTCAATATTCCTAAATACATTGAGTTGCTTTAATGCTACTGGCTAAGTAAATTTGAAGAACACTTGGATGGGTTTACCCATTAAAGAGGTTGGTGAGTGCATATCAATGTGCTGTTTCACTACTGTACCAAGCATGTCAACAAACTAATTAATAAATAATTTACAGAGTTATTATTTAACAAATGACCTCTTTGAGGTTTAATTTGCAGTGAAAAACAATATAGTAAACATGGTAAACATGGAAAAGTTAAATATAGATGACCAAAAGGCTGCTATGCGGATGAAACAGTATCTCTGTAGAACCACATATGAAATGTGAAAAGCTGTTATATGAACCTTGCGAAACCACATGCTGACATGTTCAAATTCCACAATCATCTGTGTTCTGAATGGCAGAAAACAACTTACAGAACTGTTCTGTAATGAGAGTGGTCTGTTCATTTGTTATCTCTGTGTTATATTTACATATAGAAGTAATATTTGTTTTAATGATCAATTATTACTTGGATGTATTCATTTATTACTTAGTATATTACCAACATATATATAATTGTGTACAGAATATTTATTATTTTGGTAGGCATTTTTTAACCATAGTTGAAAATAGGGCTTTTTTCAGTTCTGCATCCGTTGTGAAACTGTGTTTTTTTTGGCATTGTAGCACATTGCTTTATTGTCTTAGACTTGTTACATTTAAAATTTCGTACTCAGCTATTTTTATTTATTGATACTTCTCTTGTTAGTCTTAAGAAGATTTCGGCATTATTTATTTATATGTGTCTGAGTGCTGAGATGATGACTGTACAGGACGCTAAACGTGAGCAAATATATTTCAAAGGTTGGCAGCATTCAATGCACAATACTTCAGTAAAATAATAAAATAAAAATTGGTAAAGAAGATGTATGTATGGGGTTCTATGAACCCTCGTGCACTCTAGAGAGGGCCCGGACCAAAAACACATTGGTCCTCCTGAATCTGAGGTTGTACTATTGGTTGGATTCTCCTCTCCAGTACCCTATAGCATAGTCTTTTCCAGGAAGGCTGAGGACTGTGATCCCCTTGTAGTTAGAACACACCTTCTGGTTGATGGATCTCATTCACCCCCATCTCATCCAATTTTGGAGCTTGCAAACGATTTCAGTGGCTTCAGATTAGGTGATGGATAAGTCAACTTCTGCCACCCCACTATCTGCGTCTTAAAAGGCAGGTACAGTATGTCACTGGGATTAAGAAGATCTTCAATTGATTTCAGTGCCCGACAACATCCCCAGTCAAGGTCAATGCTTCCCCAAATCCACTCTATACAATGTTGGTGAAGAACCCTGTATGTTTCCCTTCATTTGGCGCCAAACTCTTCCCAGGTCAGAGATTTTGCTTTAGCTTTACCTATCTTGGGTGGTCAACCTCTGATGTCCACTACCTGGTAGTCTATTACCCCCACAACAGGCACGGGAGGCCTTAAAACCCTTAATTTCATACTCCTCTCCCAGTAAGGGGGTATTCCATGTGTAAAGAGCCTGTTTCCACATCCTAAGTAGTAGTAGTCAGTAATGTTCAGGGAGCAAGTATGAAGAAGTAAGAAGTATGATCAGGGAATTTGGCCAGACACAAGTCTTACACCCCCGCTCTTTGTGAGAAGTGCCATGATTTTTAGTGACCACAGAGAGTCCTGACCTCAGTTTAAGATCTCATTTGAAAGACGGTGCTCACTGACATTATAGAGTCCCCTTCACTGTGATCAGAGGATCGCTACTGCTGTAGTAATTCCAGCTTTATTTACCTTCAGGAAATCACTGAAGGCTTATATTATGTTATCATAACGATCTAATGTGGCAATAAGATCTTAACTATATTTAGAAATTTAGAAACTAGAAATTTAGTGTTTTTATTTTAAAAAAAATTTAAAGCAGGACTGTAAAACACAAATGCGGTTATTAATGTATTAAAACATATGTTTGCTTGTAAAAATTCCTAAAAAGGACAAAAAATAATAATTTGTGGATCTCTTTGCCTCCCGGTGCAGCAATTCTTCCGTTGTGGCTGGTGTATTCTGGGAAACTTTCTTACCCCTTTGGTTTCGAGTGTGGTCCTGAAAAACCATTGTTCAAAGGGTTATTCACCCCTTCCCCTTAGCCCTACGCCTTTAAGCTAAAGAGAATTGGGACACCCCTACCCCTTCACGGGAACCTCCAAAACGAGGGGTAGGGCTAAGTGGTTGAATTTGGATTGGGCCTTAGACTGGCCTGTCACCAGAGACCTTGCCTGGGAACACATTAGGATCCTTCTGGAAGAGCTGGAGAAGTGGGAAATTTTTTTTTTTTTTTAACTGAGACTGGATAGGTGGTGATCATAGGGGACTGATGGATGGTTAAGAAGATACACACCTGGGACAAAGCTGTAAATGTGCATACGCAGTAAAAAAATCAGATGTATGAAACACTGCATACGCGGAATCCCACACATATTCTCTTTGTACATCCAAATTATTGTGAAACTGAGCACAACATGAGCGCTAAACCCCTCCCTGCCTCCTCCCCCTTATGAATGTGGTGATGACTTTACTTTTGGCAAAAACCAAACGAAAAAGCAATGGCAAAAGCAAGCTAGCAAGAAAAGAAACTTCACAGAATGTGAATCGGAGGTGCTCTTATCGGAGGTAGATCGGAGAAAAACTGTGTTATTTGCAAGTTTGTCCTCCGGAATTAAAAACAAACAAAAAATCCCGCTTTACAACTGTCCAAGTGCAAGAATGGGCATCATTGGCTCTTGGTCAGTTTGTGTGTTGTTGAGGGGGGTTAACAGCCACGTCTTTAATGGATAACAGCGGTCTCCTGATATGCAGTTAAATAATTGCACTCAATAAAATAAAATAAAAACTTAGCTGAAATAATATCTTTTAAATACATCACTCACCAAGAAGCCACATATTGCGCACACTGCCACCTTGGAGCCTCATCCCAACCATGCTGTTTGTGAGGATGAATTTATCATGGGTTGACCAAGGCCACCGTGCTACAATATTTGTTACACGCATTTGAGCATCACCTATTATTTGCACATTTATTGAATGAAAATGTTTCCGATTCGCGTATGCAAATTCGTCTTCAGACAGCACCTTTATAGCAGTCGATATAGCCTGCAGTCGATCGCTTCAATTACATTAAGAAAACCCTTGATTTCTGCAAATTGTGCTTTAATGTTTGGCTGGTCAACTGCATGGTATGGAAACCTTATATACCTTCTAGACATGTGGATGATCCCGTTCGATACAGCTTGCATTGCACGATTCAGAACCAGTAGCCAGGATACTGTTGGTGCGATACTTTGTAGTGTGCAATTTAGTATAATTACCTCTAGGAGTCGCCAATGGAAATAAAACCAACACACACAAGAAATACACGTAAGCCAGACATGAAGTTGGCACAGATCAACGCACATTCTCATGTTAATTTCATCATTAGTAAATCAAAATGTGAACGTGAAATCTGGCATACGCAAAGTTTTTGTATGTACACAGCATTGATACCCAAGGACCCTGGACTATTTACTAGGAGTTTGTGGGGTCGAACCGTCTGTTAAATGATCCATAACAAAACTTTTTACTTAATTATTTTATTTAGTGTATGTTAGTTTAGTATTTCAATATCTGACCTTGCTAATCTACTTTGTCTTTTTGTTTCAGGTGTGTGTTGTGTTCATGCTTTGGAAATGAACACAGGCAAGGTGCCTTTCTTGGAAGCGGTAAATGGCAGCACAGTCCTTCTGCCCTGCACCTATGCCAGCTGTATTGGGATCACCAACCTATACTTCAAATGGGAGTTCAATGACAATGGCACCATGCAGAAGGTAATCATGGGATATTGCAATACTTTAATCCACCATGAATAGATGTTAAACTGAACAATCGCAAAAACATAATGTTCAAACCACGTACTTACCAACAAACCCTAAGAAAGTTAACCATAGCTTATTGCAGGAAGAATGTAGTAACCATGCATTTTGTGGGTATTGATTTCTATTTTCAAACATCATGCTTAAAAAGTGGTTAGTGTAGCAAAACAATTGATAATTTGTGGTTTAATCACAAAAACAATTAAAAACCTGCTTTATTAGGCTAATTATAATTTCAGCCTGAAAAAAATAAATAAGAAGAATGTTAAGAAAGTCAGCTTAAAGGTCGGCGCCAATAGCCTACTGATTAAGTGGGCCTACAAATAGCAAATAGGTGCTCACAGCGGCCCGAGTTCAATTTCCGGCTCAAGGTCCTTTATCGACCCCTCTCTCCGCTCTCAATACTTTCCTGTTTGTTACCTCCACTGTCCTATCACAATTAAACATAAAAAAATAATAATAATACAAAAAAATCAGCTTTATTATGTATTTGGTTTAAGCCCACCGGCAACTATAGTTGCCAAAGTTCATAGTTGTTATTTTCCTTTTATGAGTAATTGTCTATCAGGGGTGCTCAACCCTGTTCCTGGAGATCTACCTTTCTGCAGATTTCAGTTGCAGCCCTTATCAAACACACCTGCCTGTAATTATCAAGTGCTGTTCAGGTCCTTTATAATTGGTTCAGGTGTGTTTGATCAGGGTTAATGCTAAACTCTGTAGGAGGATAGATCTAAAGGAACAGGGTTGAGACCCCTGGTCTACATGTTATCTATGTTTATTTTGTCAATGACAAGAAAGTCAACAACCAAATAATAGAAACCTCAAGAAAGAAATAAAGGAATTGATTTACTTCCTGTCACATGAGACCTTTAACTTCAGGATGCAAAATGGAGGCAAACCCTCCCAAATAAAGGCAATGTTCATGGTACTAAAAATAATTTGTTCACAAATGTATATCAACATAATCAAGACGGTCTCTAGATTCATCCAAACAAAATAGATCTTTCAAGAGATCTACAGTTTTTTTGCATACTTTGTCAAATGTGCAAATACCTTGTAAGCACATAAACCATGTGGAATAAGGGGATAATGTGTTAAGTCAATATATCTAAGTTATGTGTTATTATGGATTTTTGCTTTCGTAATACCCCATATAAATATTAGAATTTAACTGATTAACATCTCCCACTGGTCCCACTGCGACAAATAGTTAAAATAACACTGGAGCAGTGTTAAAGTGCTGGTTGACCAGAGAATAATGAACTCCTGTGGTTAAAAAGCAAAATCACTGAAGAAAAACACAAAACTACAACCAAATTGAGTCACAACCTTAGGCCCTGCTGTCCACACAAACATAGATATTGTCTAAATTGCTGCTTTTTTTTTTTTTTTTTTTACACAAAAACAGTATTAGGTCATTGAAACCCACATTTTTGTAAAACTTTTGTCAGTGGGTTTTCTAGAAAATTGAGAAATAATGTTTTTGTTTACAAAAATACCTGTGTATGTGTGGACATGGCCATAAGAATTCAACTAAAACTCAATAAATCTCTCTAAATCTCAGCTCATCAGGATCGTTAAAACAACTCCATAAGCAGAATTAGCAGCTTTATTTGTTACTTAGCTGTTTGACTATTTCTGTCAGATGTCTACAAAAGTCTGTAGTGAGATTTACTGAAAATATTTTTGTTAGATGATTTTTTCATTTGTATTTTTGACACACAGTAATCTGTTGGGGGAAACTGGTATGTGATTATTCACTTTAAGACAAGTGGTTTTGGGGGGGGGGGGTGTTGGGGGGCTCATATTAAATGGTTTTCTAATTTTAAACATAATAAATGTCTTAATGAATATGAATTAATCTTTTGAAAGCAGTTGTTTTGAGTTAAAATGCTAAATGTTCTCCTCCTATTTAAACTCTACATTGAAGGGTTCTTACAACGTATTTGCCCACCGGCAACTATTGCTGCATATTCAAATACAATTTTCTAAAAAAATTTTTTAGAAAAAAAAAAAAGAATTAAAAACCTGGAGAAAATAAATGCAAAACATGTTCATATAGGACACTATTAACAAGGCTACATGTTTGAAACCCTTTTTTTAAAATTTGGGCACAAATGAGTTAAACAGTTAACTACAGTTCTCACATAGATTATGACAACTTTTACAGACGGTCATGTTTGTGTGATCATAAAAATACAACTGGCGCCATCTTGAGTTTCAAATATTGTTTAGTGAAAATATCAACAGAGTTTAGTGGACATAGCTGGCCTGGCCATCTGGTTGCAGTGTAGCAAACATACTTTTTGTCAGATTGACTGCCAATTTTGAAAGTTTTACAAAATCCTACCAAAAAGGTTAGTCACTTCAAACATCTTTTTGAAGTGAGTTACTGTTTCTAATGCGAGTCTGACATTGATTGGATGTAGTATAAATAGAAAGCCTCTCTTCATCTTGAGCTGGTTTTGTATGCCTTCAAGGACGCACGAGGTGAAAGGGGAACAGTTCATAGGAATCATTGCATTGACTAGTTTTTCAGTGATGCTGCAAGATCCATTCCAAGATCATCATGAGAGTGGTGTTTTCAGTTGGCAGCTATAAAAGTTTTTAAAGCACCTGTACATACTGTAGCATTAAAGTCATGGAGTTAAATACTATTAGTAGAGAAAGTTAATGATATTGTTAAGCAGTATGGTGTGTTAAGATTAAAATATACATACATTTTGAGCTAGAACTTTACATAATATGCTCAGTTTAATCTTTATAATTAAGAGTTCCCTTTTTTAATAAGGTGGCAGATTCTGTGATTCCAACTGATCATATGGAGCCAAACAAGGTGCAAATTTACCGTGAGCGGGTGGAGTATGTTGGCTCCAGTAAAGAAAATAACATCTCTATCCTGCTTTGGAATGTCACATTCGAGGACGCAGGCGTCTACACCTGCTTCGGCAAAAACCCCAAAGAGAAGGGCAGGAATCACAGCGCCTTTTTCACTCTCTATGTAGTAGAGGAACGTAAGTGTGGTGGGCAGTGGGAGTGACGGAGGATGAACACATATTTCACATAGTACATATCAAGGTCACTATTAAAATAACTCTACTCGCTTCTTGTTTTGTCTTTTTTTTCTCTTGCTATCGCTTTCTTAGTAAAGGTGGTCGATAACACGCTCACCATCATCATCGCCTCCTGTGTTGGCGGATTCATCGCTTTTCTAATGACCTTCATGCTGCTAAAGAACTTAACCCTGTTCATTCTCGCAAAGATGGAGGAAAAAAAGTGAGTTTATTTATAACACCTTACTATAACTCTTACTCTAAGTTACTCAATTGACCCTTTACATTGGCCCGACCCTTCTCTATGTCCGACAAGCTTTCAGTGTCAGCCATGGTGCTCCACTATGAATTTGTGCACTCCCCATGGAAATGATTAATCATTTTCAGAAAAATTACATACTGATCTCAAACAGCAGCAGACATACACTCACTGGCTACTTTATTAGGTACACCTTACTAGTACTGGGTTGGACCTCCTTTTGCCTTCAGAACTGCCTTAATCCTTCATGGCACAGATTCAACAAGGTACTGGAAATATTTCTCAGAGATTTTGCTCCATATTGACATGATCGCATCGCGCTGTTGCTGCAGATTCAAGAAACACACCATTACATTACGACCACCACCAGCCTGAACCATTGTTACAAGGCAGGATGGAGCCATGCTTTCATATTGTTGACGCCAAATTCTGACGCTACCATCCAAATGTAGCAGCAGAAATCGAGACTCATCAGACAGGGCAACGTTTTTCCAATCATCTATTGTACAATTTTAGTGGGCCTCAGTTTCCTGTTCTTAGCTGACAGGAGTGGCAACCGGAGTGGTCTGCTCCATGTTTCACTCCTCCATGACTGCCACAGCATCTGCTTAGTATATGGCCTGGTCCAAGATTATGGATACCTAGGCATCATCTCTTCACAGGTCTGGGATCACATCAATGCAAAAAATCAATTCCCTAACACATAATTCACAAACACTGGCAAATAGTGGTATGCCAAACAAGACAAAACTATAATTCATCTATGAACTAAGAGACAGTAATGAATAACTTACTGTTTATCTGGGTATCCAGACTATGCACTTTAGGTTTGCTCATCTCACCTGTCATCTTCAGAGTTTTCAGGTAGTTCGCTGGTTATATTGTCAAGTCACTCCATAAACTAAAGTTACGTGGGCTGTCCTGGGGTCCGTTCTTCGTACCTCGCTTAAATCAGATTAAAATGTCTGGATGAACTGATCTGAGATCGCTGCGTATGTTGTGATCTATCGATCCTCGAAATCATGATCAGCAATGCAACGATTAGCTGACGGCACAGCAGCGTAATGACATCATCCAATAAATATTCAATTATCCTTGTAAGCAAAATGACATAAATTTAGTAGTAAACGGTTTGTTAAAAATGACACGCAATAACTTTCCACCTTTGTTGTGGGCTGCAGGCTTTACCCTTTCATGTGTCAAGAACAATTTATTTAGTTTTACAGTTAGAGCGGATTTACTTTATTATAGTAACCATAGTAGTTTTATAGTAGCCGGTTTCTTAATCGATGTAAAGAATAACTGGATGTTTACAAAAGCATTTTGATATTGGTAAAGTTGTCTGCAATTTAGTGAAGCATCAAATCACCACCGTATTAGCTGTCAAAACATGTTCATGACTGCATATGTATTATTACTTTTTTTTTTTAAGTCGCATATTGTGCATGTCTATTACACACAAATTGTAGTAAAGAGATCTAAAAAATTCATATCAATAAATGTTCTCTTTGAACCAACAGGTCTTTGTACTTTTATTTTGGAGTGCAGATTGCATAAGTTTTATTAATAACTTTATATATATATATATATATATATATATATATATATATATGATCTTTACTTGACCCGATCTAATCCTGTTTATAAGAATTGAGCCTGCTCCCTAGAAGGTTTGAGCTACCAGAACTGTTGCTATGACAACAACCCTCGGATCAATTTTAAAGAACGAAACGATCCTGGATCGAGTCAAATTGTCAATAACCAAATATAGCTAACTGAGTAATCCACGTAGGAAGAACGGACCCCTGATCTGATAACAGATACGATTAGTTCTGTTGGAAGGTTCTGAGTTATCCATTTAGCAAATGACAAGACCATCGGTTGACAGTTGATGGTGATCCATCCACACAAATGTATCTGCATCACTTCTGTAAGTTTAAAAAAAGATGAAATCCTTTTGCGTACCTGCTGTTGGTGTGGTAAGTCCCATACACATTTTCACTATTTCAATTTTTTTTTATTTAATCTCTTATGTAACTCTTACTGCACCTGGTTAGTCTGACTGCTTTGCTTGTCGGATAAAATGACAGAACGTGATGGGCCACAGAATATCGGCATTATAATTGGCCTGTCAATCAAACTGCTTGCGAATTATTCAATTATGTGTGCCAAATAAGCAAAAGGTGAATCAAAATACTGTTGGCTGACAATTTACAATTGAATTGCAAAATATTTGATATATTTTTTGTTATATTTATAATGTCTCTCATTATTTCAATTTCTTTCTTTGTTTTTTTTTTTGCAGTAAGGAGTGCCTTGTCACCTCCTCAGGGATTGATAACACAGAGAACGGTCTGTCGGGCTCCAAATCTACACCAAAGAAAGCATGACAACGTGCAACCAAACACAATCACACATGCACGTGAATACATGGATCAGCCATCATGCTGTGCTCTTGCTGTTCATTCACATCCGTGTTTAGAAACACTATATGCTTCAGTTTTCATGAGCAATTATAGTATGAAGCTAACTTTAAAAAATGTCCATTCGAACATTTCAATACTGTTCACACGGCTCATTTTAAACATATGCAAACACGGATATGAATGAAAAAAGGGCATTATGTATTTCTGCATATATTGAATTTATATATGCATTTAAATATGCACCACATGCAGCCTCATGCACTTTAGTTTCTCAGCCCACACTAAATCTGTGGGCTGAATTTATTCTTATGATAGAAAAAGAAAATATTTTCTTCAAATAATGCTTGAGACAGGGATAAATGTAGCTATGCTGTTCATTTAGTTCATTGAACTGGACTGTAAAACTGTGAAGGGCCTGTGGCCTCATGTAGGTGCCTGAATTCAGGAGTTCAGCACTGGCAGATTAATGTTTAGGGATGACGTTTTGTTTTGAGCAAAGGTAATGTTTGTTAAAATGCAATCAGTTTTTAAAAAGTATCTGTAGTAGTATGAAGATCTGGAGGGATGTGATGGTCGGGGAAAAATGGATCAAAGGAAAAAAAAAAAAAAAACAGTGGTAGTGATAGAAAAATATATATTTAAGTTTTCGATTCACTCGCAAATTTGTTGTTCCACAAACATTTCCTGTTCATTTCACACGTCAACCCTCCCGTTTTTGCCAGGATACCCTCAGGCGTGCTCCGTATGATAAACTGATCCCAGATTGGATTCTGTACATGCCTCTGTTGTCAAACAAAACAAAATGAGTATGAAATAATGAAAGATTACTTTAGTAAATGTTTGTGCTCATTCAAAAGAGTTAGTTGTTTAAAATAAAACATGCAGGATGGATATGTTTGCATATTAAATGTATTTGTTTGTTTAAACACACACCCAAACCCTAAAGTGTCCTGCACTTTAGCTCCTCTTTAAAAGGTACAGAGAAACTGAGATCAGTTTTTTTAAAATGGAGCGCGTCTGTCAATCAGCGCTTATACATGCATTCACTTATTCTGAGACTGCATATATTTATTTATTTATTTACTTTCTGTTGCCTTTCAAAAACAATAATTTGGGCCAAACTTAATTCCAACATAATTTTTCACAAACTGACTGAGACAAGTCAGATATACAATGAATCACATATAAAGCCAAACAAACAATTAACTTTTATTGAACTCTATAAGGGGTTAAATAAAACCCATATTCTTGAAACATCATACAATTCTTTAGCCTTCTCACCCTTCATTATTTTTAAGGCTCTACATAGGTGGCAAGACTTCTTTTTAAAGAAAATCAATTGATGAGCTGTTTTCAAAATTTTGCTTTTATGAATGAAAAATGTAAGTAAAATAAGTAAACAGTTTGCAGTTGTTCAAATGTACTCCAAATTTCACAACCTCCCAACAAAAAAGGAAACATTGATGTTGAACAGTTTCAATATCACAATTGCAGAGTTGACAAACATTACAATTCACATTAAATATTTTTCTTAGAAACTCCTTTGCAGGGTAAATATTATACGTGAGGTTGCATACAGTATGAAGGGCGACGATGGACGCACAGCTTGAATGGAAAGAAAGTGAATTTTCATATTAATTTCAACATGCTTTCAAGATTAAAAATGTCAGAGAAATATTTGAGAAAACGTAATGATTAGATGATAGCGGGATAGAATGTTAGATAACACTACAAAAACAGTACATGAATAATGGTGTGTTAATATGTCAATAAAGAGTCCAACTAGTGTTCACACTGAATAACAATAGAAAAGTGTTCAGTCAACATCAACAGTTTAAACACAGGAGTTCATGAGTAGTTAAGGATGAGTTAATAATGATGTGCCCCTCCAAGTAAAGTCATGATATAACCATACATTAACAGCTCACGAGTTCATGTAGGTTACATTTAGCTGACATTTAATTGTTAATTAATATATTAATAACATGTACTAACAAGTAATTAGGGTAGCCATTATTCACACATGAATTTATGCGAGTCATAGTGTATTTAAGTTAGTTCATGAATGATTAGCGCATACATTAACACGGTAATGTTTAGTTTACATATTATTGCATCATTATTTATGTACTGTTATTGTAGTGTTACCAAATGGTAAAATACGGAAGAATCCTGGCAAAAAAATATGGAAGGGTTTATGGAACAACAGTTTTGCGAGTAAAACGCAATAACTATATATGATTTTCCTATCACTCCGTTTTTTCTCTCCCACGCACGCAGTAGAAATCAGAAAGCTCAGCAGGTTAAAGGATTTGTTTCAGCACAGGACACATAGTGAGTTGTAATGTTCACTGATACCACGAGACATACCTGGGTAAAGAAACTGCATGTTTTAATGCGGTATGTGAATGGAGGAAAGATCGTGAACGGACAATTAGGTCTTATTTAACAGTCTTGAGTCCAGTTCAACAAACCTCATTAGCGTTTTTGCTTGAAAATGAAACACAGGTGCCTGTTAATGCTTCTGTCGCCACCTTTTGGCGAGACAAAAAAACAATGCAAAACATTATGATGCAAAAAATAAATAAATGTAAAAAAAAAAAAAAAAAAGTTATATATAAAATAGAAAAAAAGAAACCAACAAATAAAAAAAGAAAACGCTGCAAAAGCCACCAAACAGTTAGTACATACAAGCTAATGAATGATACTTGACAATCCATAGAAATCAGTATCCCTTAGAGAAAACCCTGAATGAAACACTGAAAATGCTGCTTTAAATAATTTCCAATGCATTATAGCATGTGTTAAATGGCCAGACATTTTAGGGATACACGGCTGACAATAACAGTAGAAACATTATATGTAATGCTTTTTTTATGGAAACAATGAAACAAAAGTATCACGTAACATAAATAGCATCAGCTTTGAAAGAGCAAAATAGCTTGGTTGATTTCCATGCTAAACAAAATATGAATACCAAAAACTGAAGAACAAAAAATATCTATATACATATATAATCTTATGATGCAAGCAGACATACTGTGACCTGTAAACCATGCACCTCACCTTCTGACATCTTGAAAATGCAATATTTAAAGGCAATAAACTCATTATCATGCAGTCATATAAAATTACTAAATAACAAAGAAAGTATATATCATGTAAATACAGATTTAATAATCGAGACGTTACTGGTTATAGGTCTCGAATGTTTTCAGCTAAAAAGCATTTCAAACTTTCATTTGAAGGATTCAGGGACTTCAGTGGAGAGCAGAGAAGGGGCTGACGTCAAGCGTGTCTGGTGAGGTCTCTTCATTCAATTAGAACTGAAGTCAAACGTAATGCCCAAACAATCTTACATTGAATCTACAGAGCTCTAGCGTCATCTTTAAAGGATGGATTGCACATTCTCATGTCACATTTAATATTACCTCTTTTAGAGAAATGTTCTATTTAGTGAGATATACAGTATTTTAGGCAGGTTGGTAATAGAAGGAAATGTATTATTTCTTAATGTTGCAATAACTGATTATACTGTGAATACTAGGAAATGCAGGACAAGTCTTTCTTGAACGAAGCAGCTTGCTTTCAGTGCCAAAAGGAGTTTGCTCCAGATGAACAGTGTAGATTGTAAAAATTGAAATTGCGTCTAGATCTGTAGATGAACTCTGGATTCAGATTTGGTCATTGATTAACTATAGAGCACACAATCTCAGAGAAATCTGGTAAATTTATACTTGGACCTGTAATAGAAATGTATACTGTGTGTCCAGTAGCAGTAATCTCATGTGACAACACTAATGTGACCTTGGAAAACAAAACCAGACATGTATTGCACAAGTATATCTTTGGCAATAGCATGGCACCCAAGCAATTCTGTGTTCAATAGACATCTATAATAGACGTCTAGATCAGATGGCTAGGCTAAAACGAGGCTAACGTTTGGCTGTCAGTGAAAATGTCCAAGAATAGCCCAAAATTTATTAATTTCACTAATTATTAAATAAACAGGTCAAATAAATTATCAATAAACAAACAAACAGTTAAACCCAATAAGGTAACTCGAACCGTTTGAGGAAACTGATTGCAACAAACCATTTAAGTTCAAAAACTAATCTTCATGAGTACTGTGAACTTAATCCATTTAATTAAATGAAGAAATTTGCGCACAGTAAAGCCCAATAAATAAAGAGAACCCAAACCAAGAGTACTTTAAAACCCAATAAGGTAACTCAAACCGTTTGAGGAGGCCGATTGCTACTAATCCTTTGAGTTAAAAAAACGAATCTATACAAGTACTACGAGTTGAAAACTCTTTTCAAATGAGTAGAACTGTCAGTTCAATTGAGTTAACTACACTCATTTCATTTGATAAAGCTGACTGTTGGGTTTTACAGTGCAGATTTAACATTTGATGACTAATTTTGGGGTGGTTTTTAGGATTATGTATCTATTAGACTTTCACTGACAACCCAAATGTATGCTTATTTTAGCCAAGATGTCTATGTTTAGACATGTATCAGATGTCTATTAGACTTGTTTAAAAGTTGTTTAAAAAAAAAAAAGCTTGCTTTATCATCTTAAAAATAATTTGAATATGAAATAAACATGTTCCATAAAGATTTGATAAACGTCCTACTGTAAATATATAAAAATACAATTTGTAATTAGAATTGTGCAAAGTTAAGAATTTAATTTGAAATTGAACAAATTTAAAGGCAATTTTCTCAACATTTAAACCGAGGGATGCCCAAACTAGGCCCGCGGGCCAAAGCTGGCCCATGGTAATCTTTGATGTGGCCCGCCATCCCATCTGAGAAGAGATTTAGAATGATGGGGAGGTTGTGGCGAATGCCTTTAACAGACATAGTCATTTTTAATTTAACATAACCCTTTGTTTGTTTATTGTAAAAACAAAAGTTAACAAATGAAAAAGTTCAATTAAATGTTGTGAATTAATCAGATTTATAAAAATGTAATTACCAAATTTAGAAGACAATACACAAGGCGGTGTAGCTTAACTTGTGTATTTGGCTTTGAACACCAATTTGTTTGTTTGTTATTATTGTAAGTTTGTTATATGTTAAATTATTTATTTATTTTATTTTTAAAAATAAATATATATTCGAAAATTACCATGGCAGCTTTGATGGTACATTTATCGTTGGCCCACCACCCTCAAAGTTTGGGTTTTGTCCCTTCATAAGCA